CAAAGCAAGAGACTTTATTGGGAAGGGACACCCAGGTGGGGAGCAGGAAGGTGAGGGAAACTGTGAGGACTGCTCTGCCACGTGGCTTGCAAACTCAGGTTTTAGGGTGACGGGATTAGCTTCTGGGTTGTGTCTGGCCAATTATTCTGCCTCAGGATCCTTCCTGGTGGCACTCTCAACCAAGATGGATTTGAGTGAGGAAGATTCTTTGAAGTTGATAAGGCACATGAAACTTTTGACCTTTCCCAAATTCTTTTAGTTGGTGGTTGCTTGTTAGTTCTGTGTTTCTTACCAGGACCTTCTGTCATAAAATAACTCTGGCAAATGGTTACTGTGGTGCCTGGGTCAGGGTGAGCAATTTCAGTCTGTTTCCCCTAACAATAGTTTAATAATCTAATAGATACTGTGAAAAATTGATGCTCAGCCATTCTTAAATTTACTATCATCATGAGACTAACAGCATTATTAAACTGTAGATGAGGGAAAGAAGAGTACATCCAAAAATTGTATGATTTTTTTAAACTATTATTATGATATTTATTTTCTCACTCTTAATACTTACATATGCTCTGAAAAAATTTAATTTAGTGTATTATTTTCTTAAAATGAACTGCTTATTTTTTTAATTCTTAAAATTATCATAGACCTCCAGTAAAATCTGCTATTCTAAATTCATAAAATAGTTAATCCTAATCTAAAAAGTCAGACTCTTGTTTTAAGCTGTGGGGATGCAGAGAGGAAGGGGGAAAGGCAGTGACTCCTCTGGACATCCTGATCTAGCCAGAGTAATTAAGTAGTAGAAGGATCACAGAAAATGAAGTCACCATCTTAGCCTAGAAGGTTCTAAAATGTTCCACCAGTAAGTTCACATTTGAACAGGATGTTCAAACAAGAAGTCTTCGAATTCTAAAAAAACAGGCAGAGCAAAAGATTCCCAAGAAAAAACAATGACATGTATTTAAGAAGAAGGGAATTCGGTGCAAGTAATGAGCATGTATTGGGTGCCTGTTTTGCACATTTGCAAGATAATATCTAAAATAGTTGCTCTCAGCAGTGAGCACAGACTCATGTGCCTTATGCTTATTATCTTTAGCTTTATAACCTGTTCAACTTTTCATAGGCTTATGATTTCAAATGATAGTTTGGTCACAATTTATTTATGGCAATATATGGGACAAGAGGGCTCACCTGGTGCCTCCGATGGTAAAGAATCTGCCTCCAATAAGGGAGACCTGGGTTCTATGCCTGGGTCAGAAAGATTCCCTGGAGAAGGGAATGGCTACCCACTCCAGGATTCTTGCTTAGAGAATCCACGGACAGAGGAGCCTGGCAGGCTGTTGTACATGGGGTCACAAAGAGTTGGACATGAATGAGTGACAAACACACTTTCATAGGCTAAAAGCTACTATTCACATTTATTTAATCTGGGATATAAAGTATTTGAAACTACAATGTTCAATTTAAAGAGTTTGTAATAACAGGACACTCATCCTTCCTCAAACTCTACAATATTATGAGCTCAGAATTGCTCCTGTAGTTTGATTTCTAATTAAGTGTATACTATGAATATGTTGGCTTATTTGTCTCTCATTTGAAGACAGAGTACCAAGTTGTTTACTGATCATGGAAAAAGTAAAAAAATTATAAAACTCTTCTGACTCTGTTGAATTTTTAGCAACAATAAAAACAAATGATACATTTGAATACTTTGTATTAATAGTTGGCAATAAGCTTTCCTTTATATATTCATTTATCAAATTCTTTACACAAATTGTAAAAGTGTGCTATTTGAAGGGAACTGGAATGGAAGAAAGGGCAAAACACTTATTGAGTACTCTATTAACGATTAGACACTTTATTTGTTGCTTTATGTATATTATAAATCTATTGCCAATGACAAAAAAATCCCTGAATGCAAATCAATAATCCTTAATCATCTTCATTCTCTTCTTTACCCAGTGATGGCTGCCTAGGGGCAGGATAAGAATCTTGAATGTATGATTATCACTTCATTTTCAGGGCACAAAACATATCAGTCTAAAACACATTGTTTATGGTTGTCATCAATCTATTGGTTTGGATATTTTTTCTTTATGTCTGTATTTTTATTTCAAGAGATCTTGATAAGGTAACACATATCTGTGCCTTATATTTTCTTAATAGATACAAAGTTTTCAACATAGAAAGCTTTCTTTCTTTAGTGCAATTTTTGTGCTACTAGTAAATTGTTTTGGGCAAAGGAAAGGAAATGGTAAAGTGTCTGTAGCAAAGATAAGACATTCAGCTGACATTTTTAAATACTATCTTTTCTTTGCCCCATGAATACAATTTGTTTGACTTCTGTTAATTCTCAGAGTTCTTTAAAAGAGAAAGAATGTATGCCCTTTAATTCCATTTGGCATCCTGAATAGATTCAGTTACATGGCACATGTGTAGTTCTGTTTTTATCGAAATGATGGGATAGTATTTGAAATCTTGAATCCTTAAAAACCAAACCTGGTCTCGGCAGGTGCAAGTAAGTTAATTTCTTTTTTTAAATATTATTATTATTATTATTAGCACTGAATGTATTGGCAGAGAAAGGGCAATATTAGACGGGGCGGGGGGGGGGAACCCTCCAAATTTAAATATAAAAAGGATCTTTTGCATTTTTGTTGAAAAGAATACAAACTCTAAAAATGAGAATGAATAAGTGAGTGTAAGTGAGATGGAAAATAAAGGAGCAACTTCTAAGGAAATAAGCCCTCTTCTTTAAAACTTTATTTTGTATTGGAGTGTAGCCAATTAGCAAACAATTTTGTGATAGTGTTAGGTGAACAGTGGAGGGACTTCTCCATAGTGTTTTCTATCTTGCTTTCTGGTTCTGGATCATCTTTATTCCAATGCACGCTGAGCTCTATAGGGCTTCTCACTAACTCCCAAAGCTCCCCTAGTCCAGCCCCCATCTCTCCAACTTGATTTTGCTGCACTGGTATAAATCATGGACAACCCTCAGGCTGGATTCATCTCAAGAAGGCTGTGCCCAGTTCTTTTTGTGCTCACTTCTCTGCAGTTGCATGCATCCTTCAAAACCCCGTGTAGGCCTGACCGCCTTCAAAGACCTCCTGACAGTACTCTTTCTGAACAGCTCTCTTGTGTGAAAATATAGAAGAAACGTGTCAAGCAGTTTACTGAGATAGTTCCAATCGCACATGCCACTCTCCTCTCAAGGATAACACTTGCTCAATGTTGCTATGATTAAAGCCAATTCGACCTTTTGTCATCCTCTCCTATTACATGTCTCCACATTTTCTGTAGTATTACCACACTGGAAACTGTTTTTCCAGAACATACATTTTCCTCCTCTGTGCTTTGATTTATGCCATTTCTCTAAAAGTGTGGCAGTATTAAGCTAATGTTTCTTGAGGCTTTACTGTATGCCAGGAGCAATGCTAGAGATTTTACTGAAATTTGTCATTTAGCCTCACAACGATGCTATGAACTGTTCATTTCCAAAATAACAGGTGAGGAAATTCAAGCATAATGAGATTTAATAACTTACCTCCCAAGTGACCAATTCGTTTCTCTAAAGCAATATATTGTCACCCTCGAGCATTGCTTACGAGGCAGTGAAGTCCTATGGGGTAAACGGCAATAGAACACACTTTGATGAATATAGTATAACATTTTGATGATATGAATTCTTTGGAAAATCTATCCCTTTTTCCTGCTTATATAAAATTTGGTACAATTTACAAGGCTTAATTCATATGTGACCGCCTCAGTTTCTCAAATGAGAAACTTGGCTCCATGTTCTGCATCACGGCAGTTACACTACCGCCTTCTTTCCCAATGCAGGCAGGATCTGATTTCTAAAATGCTCCCGAATCACCTGCAGACCCTGCCTACACTCTGGAACTACTGAGTCAGAATTTCTGTTTTAATCAGCATGAGCCCAAGATGATTCTATTGTAAAGTTTCATATGTGAAGCACTACTTATTTCTCCCTGCATTTAGTTATTCACAACAACTAATTATCATTACTATTTGCTTGATATTTCCCAAACAGAAGGGCCAGTGTGTTATTTATGTTTGTCTCACCCAGAGTGACTACCATAATACTTCCATATGGTTACTACTCAGCACATCTTTATTAAATGTATTTATTAAACTGAGAGCAAATTCCATGGGAGTTATACATTTATATCTCCCATAACTCATAGAAGCAGTACCTGCTGTAGACTGTAAATTCTCAGATTGTAGTTATTATATCTTTCAAGCTCATATGGTGTCTACCTTGTACATGGAGGGTACTTCAGTAGCTAATGGTAGAGTGAGGAACTGAGTAAATTAATTAAGATGATTGATGAATATATTAAAGTGTTTTTAGATGTATAATTTCATTTGCAATGCATTTAATTAACAAATACCTACAAGAAATTGTATGTCAAGAAGTGGTATAAATTCTTTACAAATCTACATTAGCACTAAGTTTGTTTGTTCATGCATAAATCTTTGAAATCAATAAAAGTTGATTTGAGATACATCAATTAATAGACCTGGATTTGATCCCTGGGTTGGGAAGATCCTCTGGAGGAGGGCATGGCAACCCACTCCAATATTCTTGCCTGGAGACCCCCCATGGACAGAAGAGCCAGACGGGCTACAGTCCATGGGGTCGCAAAGAGTCGGACATGATTGAGCGACTAAGCACACACATCCACCTCAATTAATTCTAATATATGATATATCCTACCTATTTTAAGTTGTTGTTACAGATGACTGATAAATGTGCCATAACTGATATAAAATGTCAGCATTTTAGCAATTTTCAAATGTTTTTCCCTTTGCCACTCACTCATTGGTATTAGAATAGATGAACACCGAGATATATCAGAAGAAACACACAGTCCATTTCATAAAAGAAATACCCTGACAAATTAAGTCAAATTTCAGATGATAATGTATATAGTATGTTTTAGTCATTGATCGTGTATGTATATACAATTTTACATTCCAAGGGAGGGAAGATCCCAATCCGGTGGACATCACCAGAAGCCATAGCCTACCGCAAATTCACATCAGCCAGCGATGTGTGGAGTTATGGGATTGTTCTCTGGGAGGTGATGTCTTACGGAGAGAGACCATACTGGGAGATGTCCAATCAGGATGTAAGTATTTGTAGTCTATGAGTTATGGGTTCAGATTAAGAGATCAAGCTGTGCAAGGAAGTGGAGCATAATGAAACCAGGTGGCTCCCAGTTTGTGACATTGAAACAGAATACTTAGAAGAGACGAAATTGTTTCCAAATTTTATAAAGATATTAATTGAGTTGCTCTGACAGCTTCACATTTTTCCCTAAAGCAGGGGTTTAGAAGTGAGACAAAAAGAAAACATTTGTAATAAAATGTAATGAAATAAGTGCCTGACAAAATGGCCAATAGATATCAAGAAATGTTTGAATTATTTTTGCTACAAAATTGTTTCAGTGTAACATTAGTAAGATACACTCTGCCATCCTTTGTAGATTCAATTAATGCATCTGTGCCAACATTTTGTTTACTTAAATATAGTATTTCCCAAAGTCAGACCAAACAACCAATCTCTAACATGCTGTTTCTTATAGTGTATTAAACTTGCACATGAAGTTAGTTATATAAACTGAAGTCTCGATATAGAGAAAATAATCATTAACTTTCTATTATAACTGTGATATGATTTTTCAAAAGGATTTTTGTTTTTATAAGTCATGCTTTGCTCATGCTTAGTGCAAGGATGCTATTGGCATATGGATTCAGCACACAGAGAGTTTTCTTTATGCTTAGCCAGAAACTGTGAGCATGATCTCAAAGACACATAAGAAGGAAAGCTGAGACACTTTTAGTCATTTCCTACTCACCACATATAAAATTGCTTTTAGTGTATTTGGATATAAAAATCTTTCTGGACCTCTTCAAACAAGCCACATTTTATAATGACACTGGGAAAATCGGACTCACTTTTCCACATCTCTATTTTCCAAATTCTTTCTGTATCAGAGGATCTCAAAATGTGCTCTCTGGACCAGCAGCTTTAGCAAGATCTGGGAATTTGTAGGAATGCAAATTCTCAGGACTTTCCCCAGAGTTATTGAATCAGAGATTAGCTATCTGTGTATTAATAAGTTCTCCAGATGATTCTGATACAGAATAATGTTTGAAAATCATGACTTTACATGATTTAAAAATGCTGATTTGCTAAGAGTCACTTAATTGTTCAACCCATGGGCTTTTAACAAAGGAACTGACTACAATTTGAGAGGTACCATTTTAATTGTGATATAGCTAAAAGTCTGTGGTATTTTTTTTCTGCATTCATCCATTTATATATAATTTTCACAGAAATATGTATTACCACATAAGAGTTTCTTTATAGTTTACTGAATTTCCCGTATCATAGAACATTTCTTTTAATTTTAATCCAGAAAATTACTATACAAACTTTTCTTTCTTAAATCCACTTTCTCTGTCTCGAACTTATTTATATAACATTTTCAGACATGAATAATATTTATTTAATAAGCTGTTATCTTTTTACGAAATTTAAAATGAAACCCTTTTCACTTTACTTTGAAATATTCATATAAGTGTGACCTGCCCAAAAAGAAGTGTTATAATAAAAGAAATTCCACCTCTTTAAGTCCCCGGAAACTTTGCTTCTCACATAGGTAATTAAAGCGGTGGATGAAGGCTATCGACTGCCACCTCCCATGGACTGCCCAGCTGCGTTGTATCAGCTGATGCTAGACTGCTGGCAGAAAGACAGAAACAACAGACCCAAGTTTGAGCAGATTGTCAGCATTCTGGACAAGCTTATCCGGAACCCAGGCAGTCTGAAGATCATCACAAGTGCAGCAGCAAGGTGACACATTTGATTTTACATCCTGCACACTCTCTGAGATGAATGTATTTTTATCTCCAAGGTGTTCATTTTCTTCCACTCCCCCAACTACATACTTTGAAACTTATATTCCTCAAGACTAGAAAGACATTTTTCTTTCCTTTTTAAACTTTCAGGAGGAAATCTCATTCTACTTAATGACACTGATAAAGTTCTGATATTTTTTAACTTGCATCTTACCTAGAAGCACGTATACATTCAGGCTTCGGTATTTGGACAATAGAAACCCTGAGCACGTAGATTCTTTCCACTCTCTGTTACTTAAACAAAAAAAAAAAGGAAATCTAGAGTGTTGGGGAATTCTAGCAAAGTCTTGATTGAATCCTCATTGAAAATAAAATTACAAAAATAATAATAGTGCCACCAAGTCATTGCACTGGCTAGCAGAATGCAATTTTCCCTTGATTAAACAAATCTTTGTTTAACCCATGTTATGTGCCACTTACTTTGTTAGACACTGTGAAGGATAAAACTAAGAGTATAATAATGTCAGTGTTCCTGGACAGCAACACAAATGTCAACACGTTGCAGCCATGAGGCAACCCTGAGGGCATGCTGTCCATTAGACTTGATGCATAATCCTCCCAGCTGAGAATCACCGAGTTGCCCTAATGGTTTTGAGAAATGTCAATTATATGCTCATTACACAATAAGTGAAAAACAGTTCTACATTGTGATAATGTGTTCTTAAATTACAGAGTTTTAGTAAAAAAAAAACTATACCTACTGTGCACAAAAGTCCACAATATTAATTGACATGTATAGATACTGCATAATGATGATTCACTGTGACTCATGCATAAAAGATTTAATATAATACCTTATAGGAAAGAATTTTCTTATTTTTGTGCACATCTGTTGTTTTCACTGACAGGTATTAAGAGTTGTGACTTTCAACTTGGTAGAGTACTTGCTAATGCACTTAGAGTATGTAATTTTTTACCTTAATGGAAACAATTATACCGAGCATATATGATCTAGCTTTTACATTACATTTGAATAAAATGAATAAAGAGAATTTGCATCAAAATATTAATGTAAGTATACAAGAGTCATAGATTATTTGTTAAAAATAACTTTTAGGAGATCAATAACATTGAATTTATTAATATATATCCAGTAGGTAAAACTGCTGATAACTTATCCTGCAAGGATGAATCTCTGTCCTAAATTTCAGAATGAGACTGTGCAGACTCATTTAGAAACCCACCTGACAGTTTAACAACCAACCAGATAACAAACCTGCCTTTACCTGAGCCATACGGTCCTCATTTTATACGCTGAAGCCATTTCTTTTAAACTTTACTCAATAGCAAAAAAGCATATCTTTTCAACTATTTCCATATCATGAAACAGCATTCAAGCCACTTCCATAGGGTCACTACCAATACAAAAATTAGCTCATGTAATATTATCTAGATATTTAAACCCAATTCTATATGGGAAATTAATCTTAATATCAGATCATATTATGTCATTGTATATTATAATATTCAAATTTTGTTAAATTCACTATTCCATTCTTATTAAAGTAACTGAGCATTTTTTATCCTAATATATATTATGTAATACTTTAATATATTCCATTTATTTTGTCACAAAATAGGTAATTTTAGGGAACGTATTTTCTTAATTCACTATAAAAACTTTAGAAATTGTGCTTATGTTTTCTTATTGACATTAAAATGCACAGCTGGGCAGATTATGCCTTTATAAATTTATTAATGACAACCTTATGTTGCCATGCAACAATGTCAAGAGATTTTATTTTTCTCTAGAAAATTTCTTTCCCACTTTTGACAATGATTGTTTTATTCTTTTTTCATAGCTGATTACACATATTCCTCGTCCCTTTCAATTTTCCAGTAATGCCCTTGCCACATGCTTTATTGAGAAAATATAAGCCATCAGATGGAAAATTCCAGAAGCAAAACAAAAACATACTGATGTTCTTCTTTCCCATAATTACAAGAGAGGAGAGTCCTCCTTTCCTGTAATTAGAAGAGAGAGAGGGAGTATGCTTCCAAAGTCAGAGGCAAATGCCTTTGTCTCTCTCCTCTCCATCCCCTGTGTATCCAGTCTCTTTCCCTCTCTCCTGCATAAGCAGGCTCTTTATTTCTGCAAGATTATTGCCATAAAAATATGTTCTACTACATTGTTTCTCAAATTACCCTAGTAAAAGAATCACCAGAGGGAACTTATTAAATATTCAAATATCCAGGTCTAACCCAAGCTACTAATTCAGAATCTGCAGGAAAGGAGAGTGGAATTTGGACATTTGATAAAAAAAAAACTCCAGGTAATTTTTATCATCAAGGGAATTTAGAAAGGGCTATTTATCAACATCACCTCTGCTGATTCCACATCTCTTGTCTTTTATTTTTCTATCACCCTTCAGAGCCAAACTTCTCCAATAAGGGTCTCAAAGACAGACATTTCAATACTTAATATTCAAAATTTTATCTTTTTATTTACTACTGATAATCTCATCCACCCACTGCATTTTGAATTTAGTTGAATACACTGGCGCCTACACATCTGCCCAATCAGTATTAGAACCATCTTGGCCCCACTTTCTTGGCCTCCACACTTCAACCTAGGTGATCACTGCGTCAACACGATCCATTTCTCTCCCTTTTCACTGCAAACACTCTCTCCTGTGACTTTTTCTCCTTCTGACCTAGGGCACTGCAGTAGTCTCCCTATGTGTCCCCTGATTCCATTCTTGTCCCACTTTGAGCATCTCTCACAGAGTCTTCAGAATTTTCCTATCTATCTATATATATTGATAAATTATGTATTGATAAATATATATCAGGCTTTCCTGGTGACTCAGATGGTAAATATTCTGCCTGAAACGTAGGAGACCCAGGTTCTATTCCCGGGTTAGGAAGACGCCCTAGAGAAGAGAATAGCTCCCCACTCCAATATGCATGCCTAGAGAATTCAATAAATTGTGTATATACAATATAATTTGTCACCTCTTTAAAACCAATTTTGAATTTCCATTATACCTAAGGAAAAAAAAATCTACATTCTTTTTGATAATTTAAATACCCCTGCTCCTCAAATGTCCTTTCTTTTATTCAAATATTGATTTATTCATTTTTTATCAATTATTTATTGTATACTGATCTTCTATGGGCTAGGCATGTGCAGATGCTGGAGAACAGTGATGAAGACAAATATGTTTCTTACAATCCTGGGGTTTACGTTCTATAAGATGAATAGACATCTTCTATAATATATACAAATAGACAATAGACGGGCACGGATTATAGGAAGAAAATAAGTAAAAGGCTGTGATCGATCATTAAAAGGTGGCTGGGGGAGAAAAAAGAACTCTACGCATAATAAAGATAAACTGCAGATGAGTCTAAAGGGTTCTCAAAAATGGCAGAAGGACAACAGCATAATGGAAGGACAGAAGGGAAAGGAAGAGTCTGTCATAGGAAGGCAAACAGAAGCCGGAGTCCTTGAGGCTACCGAGGTCATGGCGAGGACTTTGGAAGTTTTTGAAATGCATGAGGAACCCATTAAGGCATTTAAGGCAGAGATGTAAGGCTGTTTGATTTACACAACTACTTTGTGGGGGAGCATTTCAGCCTTTCAACCTGAGCTCCTTTCACTTAAATAATATGGTAGCCTCAGTGACCAACTTCAGATTCCTTCAGAAACTCAAAGCATGTCAGACATGACAACGGTAGCTCATGCTGTTCTCCTTGCCTCAAGATTCTTCTTTGTGTCCGTTTCCCTTAGAAAGCTGTTTCTATGCCTTGTCTTAATTGAGGCATTCTCTGGCAACAAGGTTTAAAGGTCAACATTAATTGTTTTACAGGCCACTGTGTCCTTCTTCATCCCAGTTGTAATTCAGTTGTGTGCATTTTCTAAGTATTCGTTCCTCAAATTAACTCTAAGACAAATGAGATCAGATGCCATGCTTCCCTTGTATTACCAAGTTGTTACTTGAAACTCAATAAATATCTGTTACACACATGAATGTGTATTTGCTGGAATAATAATAAATTTCCATTTCAACAGACACACAATTTTTAGAAAAAACATTCCAGTTCTTTTTCCTATTCATTATATGGATTTCTACAGACACTAGTCATAAAGGTAAAAGCTTGTCATTTTCCCCTAAGCATAAATCTTATGTTTCCCTTCCTCTTCAATACACTTGGAGACTGTCTCAATCTGAGTTTGTGGATGGCACCAAGGATTCAAATTTCTGATTGACTTAGTTATTTGGACTAATGTAAAGAATTATGTCTATAAAGTCCTTTAGGAAAAACAACATCATTCTATCTTTTTTTTTATAGGGCTGTTGTTTTCCAGAGCCTGCCTGAGTCTAGTTAGTTTTATGGCACATTTTATTTCATATACTGTTACAGAAATCTTACTATAATGCATTATTTTACTTTTCAACCTTCCTTTGAGTTGATGATTCATAGCAGAAACATTCCCAAAGAAATCTTCCAGTGAGAGTGTCTTTGTGAATATCACTGTTGGAAGTAGGGAATGTGTTTAAGCAGATGGTCACAGTGTATCATATTAAAAACTTACTTAGATGTTGCAAGAAATGGTGAGAAAGGAAAGGAAGTTGGAGTAAATTTTATGTTTGTTCTCCAGTAATTGATTCATTTTCCTAAAAGTAGAGTAAATGGAGGAGACACGAATAAATTTGAAGTTTTGATTGTATATCAATATGAAGATCTATTTAGCATTTACTTTGTGTGAAGTGTTATTACTGGGCCCTGAGGGCTTCCCAAGTGGCAATTCGTAGTAAAGAGCCTGCCTGCCAATGCAGGAGATACAAGAGACACTGGTCAGGAAGATCCCCTGAAGGAGGGCATGGCAACCCACTCCAGTGTTCTTGCCTGGAGAATCCCATGGTCAGAAAAGCCTGGCGGGCTATAGTCCACCATAGGATCCCAAAGAGCTGGACAGGACTGGAGCAA